TGTGTAGATTGATGAGGAAAAAAACACTTTAATCAATTTTAGAAAAAGGCTGTAACATAACAAAATGTGGAAAAAGACAAGGGGTCTGAATACTTTCCAAATGCACTGTATCATCCTGTCATAACTGCCATTTTGTCTGCATGCAGAACTCATAGTCTTTATTTAACATGTAAATAATTATACTATTACTACTACTACTACTACTACTACTACTACTACTACTACTACTACTACTATTACTACTATTACTACTAAATATGACCTATTCGGTCAAAAAGTTGAATTCAAAAGATTAAAATACAAGACACTACAAACCAGCACAGAGTAAGGATTGTGTGATTCATAAAGGCCAAGCAGTTTGCTTTTATCCCTAAAAGGCACATCTGTTTCGTATCATCAGTGCAGCTGTAGTGGCGCTTCCAGTAGGCCTATGAAATCCCTGCCCAACAGTTTGGTACCAGTGAGTAGCCTAACCTTGCGTAATGGAAAACACTAGGAGTTATGTTATTCTCTCTCAAAATCCACAGTTTAGGAAAAAAATCATTTTGGGAAACTTCACAGTTCTGCCTGTATGAAACTATTCAAGGTGCAGTTTCAAAATAGCGATCCATCCAAATGTTACGATAACAAAGTGACTCCACAATAATGACCGAGCGAAAAAGAATACAAATATACATAACACAACTATACCAAAACATGCATCTTGTATACATAGAGAGGATGTTGACAAGTAAGACATATGCACTTTACTACACTACATGCATGACACCAAAGATGGGTCTTAAAATATGATTTTCTAGAAATAAACTACCCTATGAAGCCACGGACATCTAGTATGTACTCTGCTCTGGCAGAACCTTATCTGAGTCCTTCTGGCCGGTAGTGTTACACTGGTCATTCCAGTTCTCAATCTCAGGTATGTCGCAGGTCTGTGCCTCATGGATCTTATTGATAGGGTGCTATTTATAGTCTAAAGACAGGTAGGCAGATATTTGTCCTAATCTATAAGCGCACTTAGATTTCTCATTTAAACTAAAGAACACAAGAGGAAAACTGATGACATTTTAGGTAGGCGACAGCATCAGCCGTATTCAGTTTAGACACGGTCTTGACACTTTAAATTGCATTGTTGTGACAAGAGGGTTTGCATCTTAAATAAAAGTGGTCAGATTGTTTAAACCTGACTTACAGCTAGCTCTCTTATGACACGTTTAGAAAACACAAGACATCACCAACCTCTATTAAATCGGTTATTTTTCATCAGGTACCTTCGTTGGTGAAATAAACTCCACACAGCGCGCCGCCGACCTGACCACTCCACTCACCGGATAAGACCAGAGCAGTGGAGCTAATGTCCAATTCCAACCGTTGCTGGCTCCATACAACTTCCTGGTAAAAAGGCGGCTCATAGCCTACACAGATTCAAAATTAGATTCAGGACTAATATGAATCAGACGCAGATAAGTAATTGAAATCAAATTAGTTCAACTGTATTGCGATTCAATTAAGATGTATATTGTAAGCTACAACTAGAATCATTTTACAAATAAGACCACTAGAAATGTATAGTACTGCAGTATGCAGTTAAATGCTACCATCCAGCGGCTGAAAGAAACATCCATGAAACGCAGAATACTATTTAGTGGTGAGAAATGTAACACTAAAACAATACCACGAGGTGGCAACATTTTATAAGGGACTGTTGTCAACATTCGCAGACGAGTAGCCCTTTTTGTCCACAAGGTCTAAAGGTCTCATTTGTGTATTATGTCCAAGCCATAGTATTGCAGTCTGGTAGATTTCCAGTAATTTAAATTAATCAAATACACCCGTTGGGTTAGAAGTAGTATATGACCTATGTAGCCTATGCAAGCAACTGTTTCACCTTATCATAAACAAAACATGATCTTACAGAGTGTGGCTTTAATCAAAAGAGGAAGCTGTGGTTAGCTCACTCTGCCTGTCTATCAGCGTAGATGACCTGTGGTTTGCCCTCAGTGAGGGGCTCAAACTGAGGGGCCCCCGAGGTGGCGAGGGCTTGATTATTGTGGGACTGGAATGTGATGTCATTATTCCCTCTCCACCTTTTTATATGCCCTGACAAGTCATCATTAAAGTTTGTCGCCTAATGCACTGATAGCCTTTGTGTATTCTTCGTCTACGAGACCTTTGGTCAACTCCACGGCCTTACAGCACATTTTTTTTACATTGTAGTCATTTAGCAGATGCTCTTATCCAGAGCGACTTACAGTTAGTGAGTACATACATTCTTTTTTTTCCCCCATACTGGCCCCCAGTGGGAATCGAACCCACAACCCTGGCGTTGCAAGCGCCATGCTCTACCAACTGAGCTACGCTGGCTTTACTCATATTGACCTAAAAACAAACCACCCTCTAACGTTAATATGACTTTATATTACACATGTACAGTATTTCATAGATGATGCAGTTTATTATTATAGTTACATTGCTAATATTTCGTTTTCAAAAGGTAATGTATGAGAGTGCAATACAATAATAAAGAGACAGATGCCCTTGAGTTTTTTTTAAAGGTGCATTCAATACAGTGTTCTTCCATAGTTCTACATATGAAGGCTCAAGCATATTTACAGAATGTATATACAGTCCATATAGAAATAAAATGCTAATACAAATAATCAGCTTTTTATAGCAGCAAAATAAACTAAAATAGTATTTACACTGACTGCAAATACTGTTTTTCCCATTCATTAAAATAAAATAGTATATGCAACTCCCATTGTCCTAAAATCCAATGATTTTATAAAAGTATCTTTAAAATAATGAGAGACTAATGATATTCTATCAAAAGAAAATAGGGAAATGTATTTAATTGAATTATCAAATTTAATTTTACTTATTCAAAAACACATTTCTGTCTGAAAAGTTAACAAATTAAATGTTGGTATTGCAGTGTGATCTCAATCTTAGAAAATAAAGTGAATTGTAAACCAGATGACGCGCACAACCACGTGTTTCAAACACATTCCAGTCCTCCAATTACTGTAACATACCTCTCTTGCATTTGTTACAACTGTAAATATATCTCTGTATTTATATATTTCATATTTAAATAAAGTGAAAGCATCCATTTAACAAGAAAAGAGCTAAAAAAAATAAATATCCAGTTTCTTTTTTTTATTTTGCAAGAAAAATTTTCTTTTTCTTCAAACTTTAAGTTCTGTGCAATGTCAGACCCTCCGCCCATCACAAAACGACACATATTTTACATTCATGACTTTAACATTGTCATCTGATGGAATCAAGGAAACGCCAACTCCCAGCAGGCCTTTCAACATAGGCCACTATGTCAACATTCCAGAGTCAACAGCAAGAGGTTCAGGAAAACTATCATATACTTCCTTGCATCTTAGAAACACTCAAGTTGCACTTCAAGTATTCAACAAGGCATGGTTCTTCTCTTAAAAACCAAACCAATATTTATTTAGCTACGAGTACATGGTTGTTGTTTTTATTTTTCATACACTATAACTATGATACACATACATCCAGCCATGCATTATAAAAGTTCACCCGACCCCAGAGTCTTAACACTTCCACACTTGCTTACAGAGGCAGAAAACATTATTGCAACGATCGTCTGATTTGTCAAATACTTGATGCTCTCTGTTTGATTACACTTCAAGTTTGATTTGAATCTCCTCTTGACACTGAAAAGATTTCAGCTTATTGTTTTTCAGTTTGACACATAAATGAAGGTTAAATTACACTTTCACGAATCTACCTCTATTGATTAACATGTATCCTTAAACAGGCGACGACAGAGCGACGTACTCTGTAACTTCAACATAATAAACACGTAGTAGAAGGAAGCCATATCTCGTATACGGTAGGTATTCCTGTAGAAACACAGCCAACCTGGATATAGTTATTGGGTAGCCCCAGCTCTAGAGCACTAAGGCCCTGATCTGACCTCCTGGGGCCTGTAAAGCCATAACCAGCATGCTCAACGCAACAGACAGACCACAGCCATAATGAGTTCCACAGTGGAGCTCTACTCCCTCCACTAGTTTCCACCCTCAGCCCACCATGTCCTCTATACAAGAATGCAACTGAGCCCCCATTCCGGCTCAGGGTGCATGTAGGCCATGCAGAGCCAACATGGTGAGTTAACATTTAGCTAAGGCCGCTTCAGATAACAGCACAACTCGCAACACGGCCCAAACCATGCAGCAAACAGGTGTAAAATGTAAACGGACTACAAGTGAGAGGATAACTCTTCTATCAAGACCCATTACTTTGTTATCATTCTGTTAGAAAAATAAAACGAAGACCTATATGGTAGGAAAATAATCAACTTGAATTCCTGCACAGTTTAAGTTCTGCCTAAGTGCTCCTCCCCCAACCCTCCACCTTACCCCCCTCACCTCCAAGAGCAGGCACTCCCACATTTAACAAACACCTAGCTAGTATTAGAAACATACTCAAACAAAAGTCAACAGCTGAAATTGTGCAGCGAGTGACACGATCCATTAACAATGCAATTGAAACAAGACAAAGAAGAGAGCGAAATGAAGCTCGAAATCTGTTTCTTCTCTCTGAGACAGAAGAGCTTCCAAGCTCCTTACAGCACTCCTCAACTTCTGTCCTCCGTTTGGTATGCACTCCTCCGTAACTCCAATGCAGCATTGAGATTCTTCCTTAAAGTGTTTCTGTTCTGCATCAACGGTAATGCCCTTGTGATCTCAGAAGGATTTATTTTGAAAGGTGGAAAATAGAATCCTTAGTATAAATTACTAAAGAGGATAAAGATATCTTTGCGTAGATCAGCGTTTCCCAAACTCGGTCCTGGGCTCCCCCCCCCCCCCCCCGGGTACACGTTTTGTTTTTCGATCTAACGCTACACAGCTGATTCAAATACTCAAAGCTTGATGATGAGTTCATTATTTGAATCAGCTGTATAGTGCTAGGGCAAAAACCAAAACATGCACCCCTTCGGGTCCCCAGGACAGAGTTTGGGAAACAGGGGTGTCAAACTCATTCCAAAAGTCCAAAAGTAAAACATCAACCCTGTCAATGATACCGGGCCTGGCCCGTTTGGTGATAACAATGTCCTTCCTCAACATAATGTCAAAAATATATAGCGGAAAGTAAACTAAATAAACATGTTCAATCAAAAGACGCTCTTATCCAGAGAGCAATTTTCTGTATTTCCAAATGATTCACTAATTATTATTTTTATTTTTATTTATTTTTGGTCATTTAGCAGACGCTCTTATCCAGAGCGACTTACAGGAGCAATTAGGGTTAAGTGCCTTGCTCAAGGGCACATCGACAGATTTTTCACCTAGTCGGCTCGGGGATTAGAACCAGCGACCTTTCGGTTACTGGCACAACGCTCTTACCCACTAAGCTACCTGCCGCCCAATTAGAAGAATATAATATTTCTCTCTGTCCTTTTCTTTATCTTGACCCTTGAATGGAAGCGAGAGTAAAGTGCAGGTCTTTTTCCAGAGATCCCAGTTCAGCGCGTGAACGTCGGTCGGTCGCGTGTGCATCCACTGTCCCCTGATCAGTCCTGTCCAGTCGGACCGCCTGGTGGCCCTGAGAGGGAGAGACGGCTGTCCTCTCCTCGCCACACCATAGTCCTTAGACCGCGACGAGCGAGAGACAGGCCCCAAATTAAATGAAATACAAGTAAAAACAAAACCTTCAAACATCATGGCCCATGTGTGTCTTTGAGAAAGAGCAGGTTGGTCAAGCCCATGCCATCAGCAGATACGGTCGTAAAAAAGGGAATGTCGTTTTTAATTTTTTGTTGATGTCGTTGCATTGCTATGGTTACAGTAAGCTCCGACCTTTCCGGTTAATTGCCGATCACATCAAATCACAGAGAGGACTCGCACTCCACTTTACACGTAGTGGCGGCGGCACCTTTCTTGGTCAGTTTTAGAACACTGGGTTTCTCCGTGACGCGGTTATCGGACACGGGCCCTGTTAAAGCCTTCTGCTCGCCCTTGGCCTCCGCATCGCCGTGGCTTGGATAGATAACCAGGAACCAGGCGGTGAGGAAACCCAGGAAGGAGCCACCGGACGCCACCATGGGGATGACCCGCACACTACCCGTGGCGTCCACTGCTGCGCCCAGCGCCGACGCCACCAGGATCTGGGAGATGTACACCTGGCACGACAGGATGGCACAGTCGATGCCGAAGCCCCGCTTGGAATTCCCCGGGCTGTGGTGGATGTACTGGGAGAGAGGGAGGTTAGAGGGAGAGAAGAGGCATGGTGTAAAAATAATTGCAAAGTTGTCATTGTAATATACAAGGTGTACCTGGTTAAATAAATGTTACATCATTTAAAACAATGTAGATATAGATATTATACCTGCGTATAACCCATTCTGGCATCCTCTAAAGGCATCTGGCATTGAAATGCTCTATTAGTCTCGGTATAGTGACATAAAGGTTAACGTTTCTGGATCTTTTCATGGATTGACACACAGCAGCATACAGCCTAGGGATTATCATAACAGTCAGCAGATTAAACATTACCACCATCTGTTGGCATCTTCAATCTGCCCTCTGGGGTGTAGGTCTGCAATAACATCCTTCGGCAGAAGTTACTACTACTGTTTATTGTATGTGATTCAAACTATATTTAATGAGATGTCCACTCAGTATGTTTACTTCAAAACGTTGTGGGGACATGTTAAAAACAAAAAAAGCAGGCATCCTGAGTGGCGCAGCGGTCTAAGGGTTTGATCCCGGGCTGTGTCACAGCCGGCCGTGACGGGAGACCCATGAGGCGGCGCACAATTGGCCCAGCGTTGTTCGGGTCAGGGGAGAGTTTGGCCGGACGGGATTTCCTTGTCCCATCGAGCTCTTGTGGCGGGCTGGGTGCCTGCAAGCTGACTTCGGTCGCCAGCTGGACGGTGTTTCCTCCGACACATTGATGCGGCTGGCTTCCGGGTTAAGCGAGCAGTGTGTCAAGAAGCAGTGCGGTTTGGCAGGGTCGTGTTTCGGAGGATGCATGTCTCTCCACGATCGCCTCTCCCGAGTCCGTAGGGGAGTTGCAGCGATGGGACAAGACTGTAACTACCAATTGGATGTTACGAAACATGTTCTCATGTTCTCACACTGGGTGAAAAGTGAATCCCAAGACTTCTGAAAAGTGAATCCCAAGACTTCTGAAAAGTGAATCCCAAGACTTCTGAACATCATCTGGTTTATATTTTGATCCAGTAGGAGATGCGAGTACAATGTCTACTAACTAACCTGTTATATCAGTGTCTACTAACTAACCTGTTATATCAGTGTGTAACTAACTAACCTGTTATATCAGTGTGCACTAACTAACCTGTTATATCAGTGTCTACTAACTAACCTGTTATATCAGTGTATACTAACTAACCCGTTATATCAGTGTGTAACTAACTAACCTGTTATATCAGTGTCTACTAACTAACCTGATATATCAGTGTCTACTAACTAACCTGTTATATCAGTGTATACTAACTAACCCGTTATATCAGTGTGTAACTAACTAACCTGTTATATCAGTGTCTACTAACTAACCTGATATATCAGTGTATACTAACTAACCTGTTATATCAGTGTATACTAACTAACCCGTTATATCAGTGTCTACTAACTAACCTGTTATATCAGTGTCTACTAACTAACCTGTTATATCAGTGTCTACTAACTAACCTGTTATATCAGTGTATACTAACTAACATGTTATATCAGTGTCTACTAACTAACCTGTTATATCACTGTCTACTAACTAACCTGTTATATCAGTGTATACTAACTAACCTGTTATATCAGTGCATACTAACTAACCTGTTATCAGTGTATACTAACTAACCTGTTATATTAGTGTATACTAACTAACCTGTTATATCAGTGTGTAACTAACTAACCTGTTATATCAGTGTCTACTAACTAACCTGTTACATCAGTGTGCACTAACTAGTATAGATCCTTACCTCTTTGATCTCATGGTATTGTCCCAGGAGGGCATAGGGGCAGTAGGAGATGCTCATGGAGATGATGCCCATGCTGCTGATCATCACCATGGAGACGTAGACGTTGGGGAAGATGGCCATGACAGCTGTACCGATGGAGAAGCCCAGCGTACCCAGGACATAGATGACCTTGATGCTCAGGTCAAAGTTGTCCAGGTACTTCTGCAGTAAGGCTGCAACAACAGAATATAATAGTTTATAAGCATTTGTGAATATAAACAAGGAGATGCCAAATCAAAAATGTATTTTATAAAGCCCTTTTTACGTCATCAGGTGTTACAAAGTGTTCAACAGATACCCAGCCTAAAACCCCAAAGACCAAGCGATGCAGACCCAAAAACACATTGGCCGAACCTAGAAACCTAGATTTCATGTGGCCTCGTTTATCCATACAATGGTTCAACTAGATGACATTCACCATGATTTTAGTGACCAGCAATTAGTACATTTCCACTGGGTGTTTAGATCCTGGGTTGCGGTACAGCTCTTTGTGAGTAGTCTGACTGTACTTGTACAGGTCGTCTCAGCTCACTAGCTCATCATGGTCTAACCCTCCAGAAGCGAACAGAGCGATAGATAGCACATTGGCTGAAGACTGTGTGCACATTGTTCAGAACCGTTTTTATGGCTGCCTCAGAGCACACGGCCTGCACACGCCTGTGTCAGGGCACTGTGCGCTCATTCATTGGTCACTTCATTTATTTGTTCACTCGTTCCCTCATTCGTCCATCCATCTTTCTTTTCATCCACCATTCAACTCAGTGACTGGTCACTGACCTGAGCAGGAGGCGGCAGTCAGAGCATAGATGACCAGCCCCCAGCAGCCCATCTGAACTCCTCTGTGGTAGTTCTGCAGATCCGTGGAGTTAGCAGGAGCCTGGAGAGAGAGGAGATAAAACAACTCAGCTTAGTTACTGAGAAAGAGACTAATATGTGATGCTAATAGCCCAGAGCAACCAATGGTTAGGAGAATGTGATGCTAATAGCCCAGAGCAACCAGAGGTTAGGAGAATGTGATGCTAATAGCCCAGAGCAACCAATGGTTAGGAGAATGTGATGCTAATAGCCCAGAGCAACCAGAGGTTAGGAGAATGTGATGCTAATAGCCCAGGCGTTAGAGAGGCGGGCCAGCAACCAGAGGTTAGCAGGTTCAAATCCCAGGAACGGCAGGAAAATCTGGTGGGGAGTGAGTTTTTTGTGTGATCAATAGTTTTTTATTTGCAGAAGACATGGAAAAAATACAAATATGTACATTTATGCCCAAAATAAATACAATTGGCTTTATAATAACGTGACACAATGGCCCTGGAGTCCCTGTAGCCTTACCGTGGGGTCTCCGTGGTAGATGACCTGGCCCATGAAGTCAGTGTAGAAGACGGCCTCAGCTATGATGGAAAACCAGGTGAGGAGATGACAGACACACAGCCTCATCAGCTCTGGAGGCATCTTCAGCATGGACAGCCACAGCAGCCTGACCGTGGTCTCCGTCTCCCCCTCCTCGCTCTCCGTGTCCCCGCTGGAGTTGGTGTTGCCCGACTGGTGGCGCGCTCTGGGGTTCTGCTGTTTCCTCTTCTGCCTCCGCTGCACCTCGTAGATGTCGTTCAAGCTGCGCGACGGCTTGATGAGCAGCGCGGCGTTGGCCCGCCGGTAGCGGTAGCGGTGGGAGCCCACGCGGCCGTAGTAGGAGAAGGTGCAGGACGGCTGGCGGTAGAAGATGTGGCGGCGGCGCCGCATGGAGGCGTTGGTGCTGGCCGAGTTCTTCATGACCATGCGGGCGTGCCCGTTGGCGCTCTGGCTCAAGCCGTTGGCGTGCGCCCGGCCGTTGGGTGTCTTCTGCTCGTTGACCTGGTTGTTGAGCAGCTCCTCCTCCCCATCACGGTCCTGCTCCTGCAGAAACTGGGACAGCCGGCAGATCTTTTTGGAGGTTTTGAGGAGGTCCTGGCTACCTGTGCTGCTGCTGCGGCGTGGTGGAGAGCCGTGGTAGGATGACAGGCGGTCGGCGAAGATGGAGGGCTCGATGTGGCGCAGGAACAGAGTCTCGTGGTCCAGGTGATCTAGTGTGGCATCGGCCATTTGCAGCACAGAGTCAGACTTGGACCTCACCATCTCCACATCCAGGAAGTCCATGTTCATGTCGCGCAACGAGCGCCCGTCCTGGTCCCCCTCTCCGTAGAACTCATAACGGTCGCAAGGGTCGTAGATGTCGTCCTCTCTGATGAACTCCATGTGTGGGGTGTTGTGGCCGTGGAGCTTCCCCAGGGTGCCGTTGACCTTGTTGGCAGTGGAGGAGGCGGCGACGGCTTCCTCGTCCAGCCGGTCCTGCTGGGGGCTGTACTGCTGCTCCTCGATGCTGAACAGATGCAGAGCCACCGAGATGGTGAACAAGATGGCGGCGAAGAAGAAGAGGATCTGCTCCTGGGACTTGAAGATTGATCCCAGGAAGGTATGGGTCCAATCCAGACCGCCCAGCGCGTAGCCCACCGCTCCCCCACAACCTGGCGCAGACACACACATCATTTCCAGTTTGAGAATTTTCAATCTATCAAACCTATCACAGATATTACAGACATAGGTATGCGCATGGAAATATCCTGCTACTAAGACGTGTGTCGTACCAGAGGAGAAGGCGTGGATGTTGAGGGCCATGTCTTGTTCTTCGGTGTCCGCCACGTCTAGTAGGTAAGCCCTTATGGGACTCTCCGTGGCGTCTGCACTGAAGTCCAGCACCACCACTCCGAGCACCGTCAGAACGATCCCTATGGGCTGGTTATTTGGCACGTCGCCGACGGCAAGACCTGGAACACAACCAGAGACAGAGTTAGTATCCTAGCCGGTATAACAGCTTCAGAAAACCATAGGCCTAATTCACAGACAGAGACAAAGTTGGACACAGAGACCATTCCATTCCATTCCATTCCAGTATACATATATTGATTAGCAAAATCCATCCTAGTTCCTTTCAGCTCTCCAACTAGGAGCACACGGTTGGATCGATAGAGTGGGAGAGAGACGGAGAGAGAGAGAGAAATGGAGAGACAGCTGGAGAGAGAGAGCGAGAGAGAGAGAGAGAGAGATGGAGCGAGAGAGAGAGATGACGCGAGAGAGCGAGAGATGGAGAAAGAAATGGAGAGAGAGAGAGAGATGGAGAGAGAGAGAGAGAAAAAGATGGAGAACGAAATGGAGAGAGAGAGAGAGAGAGGAGAGAGAGAGAGAGAGAGAGAGAGAGAGAGAGAGAGAGATGGAGAAAGAAATGGAGAGAGAGAGAGAGATGTAGAGAGAGCGAGAGAGAGATGAGAGAGAGAGATGGAGAGAGAGAGAGATGGAGAAAGAAATGAGAGTGAGAGTGAGAGAAAGAGAGAGAAAGAAAGAGAGAGAGATTTGCACATGTGAATCAATACCCGAGTGGGTTACGATTATGGCACACAATCGCCTTCTTACAAACACACACACACACACACACACACACAATAGATCCCAATTTCATCCAACCAGTAGGCCTAGGCTACATTAAAGAAATGTTAAAAAGCAATGAGTCTGATGCAACAGATCAGAACGTTTACCTTAACATTTTGATCAACTATTATTTCTTCACATTATAAAGTACAGGGCAGTCTCTGTATGCTGTACACGTGTGATAAATATGATACATAACAAATATACTGCACACACATGCCAATCTAATTCCACTCAGTGATGCAAATTAACCTATAGACCGATAAGCATGACCAGTCAAATGTATTTATCAAAATAGAATTTATAATAAACACTAGCTGTGAAAGGTTGTGTTTCATTGGCGTAAAACAAAACATCATTGCTTTATTGCAAGTGTCATTGGTGTCAATGCAAGTGCTGAAAATATATAATATATCAATATTTCACTGGGAATAAATATATAAATCTAAACTCTTAGTTGTAAAATCCCATTTACTACTTCCATTATAACATTGAGCCCAGAGGAACTCCACGGACACAACAACAAACAAGTCATTATTCAAACCTTCTCATTAAAGGGGAAAAGCTATTCTGAAAATATTGAGCTAATCAACAACGACCACAGAGGAAGAAGAGAGGTGTACAAGTTGAAGAAAGAAAGAAGTCTGTACTGAGTCTGTGTGTAGTCAGTCAGTGTGTACGTAGTAAGCAAAGCCTTTCTTCCTGACAATGGAGTGGCTGACGGGGTGACGCGCAGTGAGCTAGCGCTGGAGACAGGAAGCGGCTCCAGATAGGCATTGAAAGGTAAGAAAGAGGGCAGAACAGGAAACGTTTCCCTGTGAACTGGTTCCCAGTCCTTTCCCATGTCACGGAGAATGACGGTTCACACACACACACACCGCCCGGCCCAGCAGGTCAGAACACCGGAGCCTGTGCTTCTCTTTCTCAGCAAGTTACTGTGACCCACAGCACTGGGACCTGAGCTGGGGGTGACGCCGCACGAATAGCTGCTCTGGGAGGGCTATGACGAGGGCTCTTAGCCAACACACACACATTCACAGAAACGTGCACACACACACACACACACACACACACATGCACACACAACAACATGCACACGCGTACGCACACCTCTCTCCAACACTCTTCAAAACAACGCGGGCCAACTAAATCCAATCCAATCCAATTGAAATCCAGGACCTGTCAAGCTTTTCCGTTTGTTCAGATGTTCAGTGACCCATTGAGCCACATCTCCAGTAAGCAGAGAAAAAGTAAAGCTATGTTCCCTCTCCCTTCCCCTACTTCCAGACTCTTCAGTCCTACTTGGACTGTCCTGAAGCCGGCAGCAAAACAACTCTATGGGATATCTATTGATCTTCCCCTTCGCTGAACCTTTAAAGCACGGAGCAAAATGGATCCCTTCTCAGTTTCGCCTGCACAGATTGAGGCACTTAGGGTCACTTCCACTGATAATGAATTTACCATAGCCAATGGCTGGCTAATGTAGGATGTTAAACTTCTGATGCAAGTGTAACTTTTGGTGTGCCCGTGTTGCATTAGAACAGAGTTGAAGTTATAGAACCAGGCTTTTTCCTCACCTTTCTCAACTCAGGAGAACCACAGCCATATCACACTCCAGAAGAGGGCTTATTAGGTGAGGCAGAAAGCCTGCCAGACAGGCTGCTATCACTGATCACATCATCAGCCTATTCTGTGTTCTCTCTCTCACAAACATTTACATTTCAGTCATTTAGCAGACGCTCTCTTAGCCAGAGAGACTTACAGTAGGGAGTGCATACATATTCCCCATACTGGTCCCCCGTGGGAATCGACCCCACGAACCTGGCATTGCAAGTGCCATGCTCTAGCAACTGAGCCACACACACAGGACACACACACACACACACACACACACACAGGACACACACACTGGACACACACACTGGACACACACACACACACACAGGACACGCACACTGGACACACACACTGGACACACACACTGGACACACACACACACATACACACACACACACACACACACAGGACACACACACAGGACACACACGCAAAAGATCCCAAATTCATACAACTATTACGACTAGCCTACATAAAAAAGGCTACGCGTGAATGTTCATTATGCAATTAGCGGGGAAAACACTGGTTGTCAAAAGCGTACCCCATATGCGAGCGGTTTCATGTGACAGATGAAAATAGCCGTTAGAAATTTAGAAAGAGGGGAGATCTAATATGCAAAAACTAGCATGGGTTGCTAATATAACTAGGATTGTTCCTTTGGCTACTGGACAATGAAAGAAAGTTGATATAAAATAATTGCCTCTACGGATATGCTCTGATTTTGGCTAGGCTACTTTGAAGCAAGGTAAGACATGCCTCACAATATGTAGTAAAATGTTCAGGTTTCAAACAATTAAGTATATGTTTTCAAAATGCATACTGCCTCCAGCTCATTGCAAAGTGGTGTGACTCGCTGATGAAGCCTGCCTTCCGTTACCTATGGATTTACTGTTTGAGATGCATGACCACAGTCAAATGTACAGTACCAGTCAAAAGTTTGGACACACCTACTCATTCAAGGGTTTTTCTTTATTTTTACTATTTTCTACATTGTAGAATAATAGTGAAGACATCAAAACTATGAAATAACACATATTGATTCATGTAGTAACCAAAAAAGTGTTAAACATACACTAACGTTCAAAAGTTTGGGGTCACTTAGACATTTCCTTGTTTTCCATGAAAACATACATGAAATGAGTTTGAATAGGAAATATAGCAAAATGCATAGGAAATGTAGTCATTGACAAGGTTAGAAATAATGATTTTTAATTGAAATAATAATTGTGTCCTTCAAACTTTGCTTTCGTCAACGAATCCTCCATTTGCAGCAATTACAGCCTTGCAGACCTTTGGCATTCTAGTTGTCAATTTGTTGATTTCACCCCATGCTTCCCGAAGCACCTCCCACAAGTTGGATTGGCTTGATGGGCACTTCTTACGTACCATACGGTCAAGCTGCTCCCACAACAGCTCAATAGGGTTGATATCTGGTGACTGTGCTGGCCACTCCATTATAGACAGAATACCAGCTGACTGCTTCTTCCCTAAATGGGTCTTGCATAGTTTGGAGCTGTGCTTTGGGTCATTGTCCTGTTGTAGGAGGAAATCGGCTCCAATCAAGCGCCGTCCACAGGGTATGGCATGGCGTTGCAAAATGAAGTGATAGCCTTCCTTCTTCAAGATCCCTTTTACCCTGTACAAATCTCTCACTTTACCACCATCAAAGCACCCCCAGACCATCACATTGCCTCCACCTTGCTTGACAAATGGCATCAAGCACTCCTCCAGCATCTTTTTATTTGGTCTGCGTCTCACAAATGTTCTTCTTTGAACACCTCAAACTTCGATTAGTCTGTCCATAACACTTTTTTCCAATCTTCCTCTGTCCAGTGTCTGTGTTATTTTGCCCATCTTAATCTTTTATTTTTATTGGCCAGTCTGAGATATGGCTTTTTATTTGCAACTCTGCCTAGAAGGTCAGCACCCCAGAGTCGCCTCTTCACTGTTGATGTTGAGACTGGTGTTTTGCGGGTACTATTTAATGAAGCTGCCAGTTGAGGACCAGTGAAGCGTCTGTTTCTCAAACTAGACACTAATGTATTCGTCCTCTTGCTCAGTTGTGCACCGGGGCCTCCCACTCCTCTTTCTATTCTGGTTAGAGCCAGTTTGCGCTGTTCTGTGAAAGGAGTAGTACACAGCTTTGTACGAGATCTTCAGTTTCTTGGCAATTTCTCTAATGGAATAGCCTTCATTTCTCAGAACAAGAATAGACTGACGAGTTTCAGAAGAAAGTTATTTGTTTCTGGCTATTTTGAGCCTGTAATCAAACCCACAATTGCTGATGCTCCAGATACTCAACTAGTCTCAAGAAGGCCCGTTTTATTGCTTCTCTAATCAGCACAACAGTTTTCAGCTGTGTTAACATAATTACAAAATATTTTTCTAATGATCAATTAGCCTTTAAAATGATCAACTTGGATTAGCAAACACAATGTGCCATTGGAACACAGGACTGATGGTTGCTGATAATGGGCCTCTGTACGCCTATGTAGATATTCCATTAAAAATCAGCTGTTTCCAGCTACAATAGCCATTTACAACATTAACAATGTCTACACTGTATTTCTGATCAATTTGATTGTTTTTCCTTTCGAAAACAAGGACATTTCTAAGTGACCCCAATCTTTTGAACGATAGTGTGTATATTTGAGATTCTTCAAAGTAGCCACCCTTTGCCTTGATGACAGCTTTGCACACTCTTGGCATTCTCTCAACCAGCTTCATGAGGTAGTCACCTGGAATGCATTTCAATTAACAGGTGTGCCTTCTTAAAAGTTAATTTGTGGAATTTCTTTCCTTCTTAATGGGTTTCAAGCACTTTGAAAGTTTCTTCAAGTGCAGTCGCAAAAACCATAAAGCGCTATGATGAAACTGGCTCTCATGAGGACCGACACAGGAAAGTAAGACCCAGAGTTACCTCTGCTGCAGAGGATAAGTTCATTAGAGTTACCAGCCTCAGAAATTGCACCCCAAATAAATGCTTCACATAGTTCAAGTAACAGACACATCTCAACATCAACTGTTCAGAGGAGACTGCATGAATCAGGCCTTCATGGTTGAATTGCTGCAAAGAAACCACTACTAAAGGACAGCAATAATAAGAAGAGACTTGCTTGGGCCAAGAAACACGAGCAATGGACATTAGACTGGTGGAAATATGTCCTTTGGTCTGATGAGTCCAAATTTGAGATTTTTGGTTCCAACTGCCGTGTCTTTGTGAGACGCAGAGTAGGTGAACGGATGATCTCCGCATGTGTGGTTCCCACCGTGAAGCATGGAGGAGGAGGTGTTATGGTGTGGGGTGCTTTGCTGGTGACACTGTCTGTGATTTATTCAAGGCACACTTAACCAGCATGGCTACCACAGCATTCTGCAGCAATACGCCATCCCATCTGGTTTGCGCTTAGTGGGACTATCATTTGTTTTTCAAAAGGACAATGACCCAACACACCTCCAGGCTGTGTAAGGGCTATTTTACCAAGAAGGAGAGTGATGGAGTGCTGCATCAGATGACCTGGCCTCCACAATCCCCTGACCTCAACCCAATTGAGATGGTTTGGAATGAGTCGGACCGCAGAGTGAAGGAAAAGCAGCCAACAAGTGCTCAGCATATGTGGGAACTCCTTCAAGACTGTTGGAAAAGCATTCCAGGTGAAGCTGGTTGAGAGAATGTCAAGCGTGTGCAAAGCTGTCATCAAGGCAAGGGTGGCAACTTTGAAGAATCTCAAATCTCAAATATATTTTGATTTGTTTAACCCTTATTTGGTTACTACATGATTCCATTTGTGTTATTTCATAGTTTTGATGTCTTCTCTATTATTCTACAATGTAGAAAATAGTAAAAATAAAGAAAAACACTGGAATGAGTAGGTGTGTCCAAAATTTTGACTGGTACTGTATTTACACCGACTGGTATTTCCATCAATTAATAGGCTGAAAAGCATTATTTCGCAATGGGAATTTTTCTTCTTCTCTTAACCCTAACACCCAGTCCCAACGTCGGTCCTCTGTAGCTCCGTTGGTAGAGTATGGCGCTTGCAACGCCAGGATAGTGGGTTCGATTCCCGGGACATTTACATTTTTTGTCATTTAGCAGACGCTCTTATCCAGTGCATACATTTTTTTTTTATTTTTTCATACTGGACCACCCATATGTATGTATGTATGTATGCATGCATGACTGTAGTTGCTTTGGAAAAAATAAATGTTTCGTCACACACATGGTATACGGTCTGATATACCATGGCTGTCAGCCAATCAGCATTCAGGGCTCGAACCACCCAGTTTATAATATATTATTTATTACCTATGAGTGACCCGTTGAGGAAGAGTGCCACTCCGAACAGCACGCCCACACACAGGGCCAGGATGAAAGGACGTCGCCGGCCCCATTTCAGGGTGCAGCGGTCGCTGGCTGAGCCAATCAGAGGTGTGAAGATCAGGCCCAGGATGGGGCTCAGGAACCAGGTCAGGCTGTAATACTGTTCTGGAAGACCTGGAGATTGGCAGGAAGGAAAGAAGAAGGGGGTTAGGGTTTATCATCAAATATAAACACAACATGTAAAGCGTCGGTCCCATGTTTCATTAGCGGAAATAAAAGACCCCCGAATTTTTCCATACGCACAAAAAGCTTATTACACACACTAATCTTCTCTGGGCTATTAAGGCTATCTGCACGTGTCTGTCATCTTGGCCAAAGTAGCCCTTTTACGTAGTGTGACTTGCTGAATGACAAGGCAGATTCGGTGAAGTGGGCCAAACCACTGGCTACTACACAGGCACAGAATGGAGTCCTGGTGTACATAAATGGTGTAGCCAACATGCTAGTAATATGCAAGTAACAACATAATCTTAGAAGTACACTTGTGGGTGATTTTCATTCATTCATCATCTTATCCAACAAACTGATATTTGGAAACATTTTGTCACACTGAATTATACCAGCTGTCCATTCTGTGTTTAAGATCCATTCAAGTACACTATGTTAGACGAGGCCACACCGCCTTATCATGTTAGATCAGGCCACACCCCCTCATCATGTTAGACCAGGCCACACCCCCTCATCATGTTAGACCAGGCCACACCCCCTCATCATGTTAGACCAGGCCACACCCCCTCATCATGTTAGACCAGGCCACACCCCCTCATCATGTTAGACCAGGCCACACCCCCTCATCATGTTAGACCAGGCCACACCTCCTCATCATGTTAGACGAGGCCACACCCCCTCATCATGCCCTCTCCACAGAAATTGTGTTTTACATGTGTGTTTTATGGCTCAACAGTAGCCTGTAGCAAGTTCAGATCATTCTAATGACAGGTGGATTGACAAGAGAGAAACAGTGAGAATAATGTATTTATTTAACCCTGTATTTTAACAGGTTAGTTGACTGAGAATATATTATCTTTACAGCAAGGACCCGTGGAAGAGTTACAGGGGAGAGGAGGGGAGATAAATGAGCCAATTGGAAGCTGGGGATGATTAGGTGGCCATGACACCAGGGTTAACACCCCTACTCTTACAATAAGTGCCATGGGATCTTTAGTGACCACAAATAGTCAAGACACCCATTTTAACGTCCCATCTGAAAGGCAGCGCCTAAACACAGGGCAATGTCCCGTCAACTGCCATGGGTAATTGGGATCTCATTAGACCAGAGGTCCCTACTGGCCCTCCAACACCACTTCCAGCAGCATCTGGTCTCCCATCCAGGGACCGACCAGGACCGACCCTGCTTAGCTTCAGAAGCAAGCCAGCTGCAGGATGCAGGGTGGTATGCTGCTGCAGCGGGATGCAGGGTGGTATGCTGCTGCAGCGGGATGCAGGGTGGTATGCTGCTGCAGCGGGATGCAGGGTTGTATGCTGCTGCAGCGGGATGCAGGGTGGTATGCTGCTGCAGCGGGATGCAGGGTGGTATGCTGCTGCAGCGGGATGAAGGGTGGTATGCTGCTGCAGCGGGATGCAGGGTGGTATGCTGCTGCAGCGGGATGCAGGGTGGTATGCTGCTGCAGCGGGATGCAGGGTGGTATGCTGCTGCAGCGGGATGCAGGGTGGTATGCTGCTGCAGCGGGATGCCAGGGTGGTATGCTGCTGCAGCGGGATGCAGGGTGGTATGCTGCTGCAGCGGGATGCAGGGTGGTATGCTGCTGCAGCGGGATGCAGGGTGGTATGCTGCTGCAGCGGGATGCAGGGTGGTATGCTGCTGCAGCGGGATGCAGGGTGGTATGCTGCTGCAGCGGGATGCAGGGTGGTATGCTGCTGCAGCAGGATGCAGGGTGGTATGCTGCTGCAGCCTAACAGGTGTAGCGATAACACTGACTGAGCACAGAAAGAGAGAGAGAGAAATATTCCAGACTCACACCTCGGGTCTGAATGTGCAGTATTAACGTGAACCAGACCTGCAACAGCAGTTCTGCAAAGTTCTTATGTTCTCTCAACAAGGTCGTCAGGCTAAGCTGCTGGCACCCCTGTCCCAAAACCGCAGGAACAGGTTCGTACAGGCCAGCCAAGTCTGTTCAGGGCTCACGGCTTGCCAGTACTTTTCTATTCATCTGCCCTGCTTTGCTATGTGGGTTAGAGATGGCAGGCTGCAGGGTGCACTTATAAAACAGTCACTCCATGGAGTGTCAAAACATTACTTGTTAACACAGAGATCATTTTGTTGGTAATTTTCCATGAAGCAAAGTGATCATTTATAATATAAAACTTTGCTTTGCCAGTGAGAACAAATCTCACATTTCATCCTAAGAACTCTGGAATCAGCCTATAAAAAATATTAGAATAAAATAAAATAATGGAGTAGGCTCTTTCCCACTGGGAAGACACTGGTTGAATCAACGGGGTGGGTTATGGTCTTATCAGAGTGTAGACTAGTGGGTTATGGTCTTATCAGAGTGTAGACTAGTGGGTTATGGTCTTATCAGAGTGTAGACTAGTGGGTTATGGTCTTATCAGAGTGTAGACTAGTGGGTTATGGTCTTATCAGAGTGTAGACTAGTGGGTTATGGTCTTATCAGAGTGTAGACTAGTGGGTTATGGTCTTATCAGAGTGTAGACTAGTGGGTTATGGTCTTATCAGAGTGTAGACTAGTGGGTTATGGTCTTATCAGAGTGTAGACAGTGAGTGAAGCCCTGTTCATATTCTGGTTCAAATGAACCTGATGGTTGTTGCTGATGGCCATGACCCGGTTGGCTTGGGAACCCAGAGCTCCACTGTGCCCCAAACACCACTACTTCCTGTTGCCTGTAGACGGTCTTCCTGCAGACATGTCCTTATGACCACTAAATGACCAATCAATGAGACATAACTTCCTCCTCATGGTTTTAGTTGAGGTTACTCACAGGTCCCCAAAAATGTGTTTTTGTTCATTTTTCACTTGTTTTGGTCACGACCTGCTGTCGGCGTTGGATACAAACACACAAAGTGTCGCAAACAGATTTTAATCTGTCGGTAAGCAGTTTGTTTCTTTGGGAAAGCGGTCTGGGTAAACAGGATGTCAGATTATAGTAAATAAAGACCAGGATTTTTATTTTTCTCTCCACCGGGTCAAAAATGGCGAACAATACTGAGAGCAGTGTGACTTACGCTACTTCAGGATATATTTACTGTGGCCCAGCGAGACTTAGGACAGACAGGTTTAGACCAGGTCAGAAAGAGCAGACTCACAAAACTAGTGAGTTACAAAACTAGACAAAGAGAGGGGGGTGAGGGAGAGAGAGACAGAGAGAGAGAGAGAGGGAGAGAGAGAGGGAGAGAGAGAGGGAGAGAGACAGAGAGAGAGAGAGGGACAGAGAGAGACAGAGAAACAGAGGGAGAGAGAGAGGGAGAGAGAGAGGGACAGAGAGAGACAGAGAAACAGAGGGAGAGAGACAGAGGGAGAGAGACAGAGGGAGAGAGACAGAGAGAGACAGAGAAACAGAGGGAGAGAGACAGGGAGAGAGAGAGGGACAGAGAGAGACAGAGAAACAGAGGGAGAGAGACAGAGGGAGAGAGACAGAGGGAGAGAGAGAGAGAGAGAGAAACATAAAGAGAGAGACTGAGGGGGAAACTGAAAACAACCCACAGTGGGTAATAAGGATGTGAGAAGGGGGTAACTCACAATCTTCTCCATCAAAGAGGTTAATCTAGACACACCATTCCCATTTGACACAAAATGGCGTCCCATGTGTGGAACTGAACTGTAAGAGTACAGATGGCTCATTCATATGGCTCTGGTCCAGGCCTTACAGTGTGTTTAGTCAGTCTTGGTGCCATCTCCGCTCATATACCTCCACAATGGAGTCATTAGACACAAATGCTATCAGTGCATCTTGCGGAACTCCTTTGGTAAGCAAGGTGTTAGGTCAGTTTACCCTTCCCAACCCAATGACCATTAGGCCACAGTCAATAACAATGACATTTACATTGACTTGGCTGAGACCCTTAGAGGTGATTTAACGATGGCTAATGGCTGGAAGTGGATGGGACATGTAGAAGGTTTTTATAACTTCTTCGAGGATGTTCTGTTCTGAGGAATGGAGAGCTTAACAGTCTAGAGTCTGGCCTGTCTCATGTGTCACAACACCTTATATAGAAAGGCCCTGGGCTGAAATAGCTGCTCAGATCAAAAGAAGTGTCAAGCGCGCACACACACACACACACACACACACACACACACACACACACACACACACACACACACACACACACACACACACACACACACACACACACACACACACACACACACACACACACACACACACACACACACACACACACACACACACACACACAAACACACACAAAATGACTCACGCAGGTCAATTGAACCACCTGCACACAAATGTACACTCCCATGATTGAGCTTTCGACCGGTCCATTCCTCCCTCCATCCCTCCCTCCCTGCTGCCATTTAGACATAAAACAATTTCATCCGATACCTCACCCCTCCCATCCAACCATTTTTACTAGAGGGCTTTTTATGAGAAAACTAAACTGCCAAAAAATCATGTTTGGGTCCTGAGTGGTTGGTGTGAAAAGTGAAAGCAGGTCAGGGACTGTAGGAGCGAGGGAGGAGGAAGGAGGGGCTGAGGGTTAAGTGAAGCAGCCACATGCTGGATGATAGAGGACTGGCAGGAAACAGGTGCTTTCTGGGACTGCGCTGCAGCCAGACAGACAGACTTGGTCAGGTGCATAACAGCCTGCCTGGCCTCAACACGGGGAGGCAGAGAGACAGAGAGAGGGGGAAACATAGGACCAGGGTTACAGTACAAATCACTGGTCACGTCCCAAATGCAATCCTGTTCCCTATATAGTGCAGTACTTTTGACCAGGGCCCCATAGGGCTATATAGGGAACAGGTTACCGCTTGGTACACAGACATTAACAACTGCTAACAATAATAATAATAATAATAATATGCCATTTAGTAGACGCTTTTATCCAAAGCGACTTACAGTCATGTGTGCATACATTTTTACGTATGGGTGGTCCCAGGGATCGAACCCACTACCCTGGCGTTACAAGCACCATGCTCTACCAATTGAGCTACAGAGGACCACGAAGCAGTCTTCAAGAAAAACACCTTGACAACAAACAATGTATAGCTGAGATGCCTGGCAGTTTAAAATCCTTGGCCACACTCTTAGAAAAAAAGGTGCTATCTAGACCCTAAAAGGGTTATTCAGCTGTCCCCATAAGAGAACCCTTTGGAGAACCCTTTTTGGTTCCAGGTAGAACCCTTTTGGGTTCCATGTAGAACCTTTTTCACAGAGGGTTCTACATGGAACCCAAAAGGGTTCCACCTGGAACCAAATAGGGTTCTCCTATGGGGAACAGCCGAAGAACCCTTTTGGAACCCTTTTTGCTAAGAGTGTAGGCTAGCAGAGGGATGTCCTGTATGAATAATTGACATGATCATTTCACATGCAGTTCTCAACCCTCACTGTCTTTCCAACAACAGGGAGAGCTGATACGCAAGCAGTGGGTCTCAGCCAATGAATAATTCAGTGATGCGCAACAAACCAAAACACAGAGTGAAGAAGCTGAGAGAGACTGTGTGTGTGTGAGAGAGAGAGAGAAGCTGAGAGAGAGTGAAGATATACACTGAGTGTACAAAACATTAAGAACACCTGCTCTTTGCATGACAGACTGACCAGGTGAATCCAGGTGAAAGCTATGATCCCTTATTGATGTCACTTGTTAAATCCACTTCAATCAGTGTAGAAAGGGAAGAGACAAGTTAAAGAAGGA